AAAACCTCCAACTGCCATCCTTCTTCTTAACCAATAACACTGGACTTGCAAAAGGGCTGGTGCTGGGTTGGATGATTCCAGCAACCAACATCTCACCAACCAGCCTCTCAATCTATTTTTTTTTGAAAATACGAGTATCTATACGGTCTAATATTCGGGGCCTATGTTCATTCCTTCAGCACTATGGCATGATCATGTTGTCTATGGGAGGGTATGTCAGATGGTTGGTCAAACAATTGTAGAAACTCCTCCAGGACTCTAGCCACTCTTGGTTCCTGCGATGCCTCCTTGACTTCTGGTTTATTCTCAATCAACCCATTCCCTGCTGCTTGAATTGTTTTCAACATGGCCTTAAGAGATACAACATTTTTCACCAGTGAAGGGTCTCCCTGTAACATCACACGTCTCCCTTCCACCTCAAAAACCATGGTTAATTTTTTCCAATTTGCACAGACGTCCCCCAGAGAGCTCAACCAAGATACACCAAGTACCACATTTGCTCCTCCTAAATCAAATGGAAAATAGTCATGTTGTATCCTAACTCCTTGTATCTCTAGTTTAACCCCTGTGCATATTCCCTCGCCCCTTACTGTCACTGCGTTCCCTACCATCACTCCAAAAGTCTTACCCTTCTTAACCGAAATACCCAATTTGTTAACCAACTTCTGTGAGATGAAATTGTGTGACGCCCCACTGTCAACCAACACGATCACCTCCTCCTTACCAATTCTTCCTGTAATCTTCAACGTCTTATCTGTAGTAATACCAATAATGGAGTTGATTGAAAGAGCAAGTGGGTTACCTTCTGTAATGGCTTCCTCATCGTCGATTTGATCAGGTATGTCTTCTTTCACCTCGTCATCATCCCATGCAAGAAGGATTTGCAACGACTTACTCCTACATTTATGGGTTGGACTGTATTTTTCGTCACATCTAAAGCACAACCCACGCTCTCTCTTATGTTGGATCTTAGATTTTGAAAGTTGACGAAAATTATCACCCCTGAAGCTCGTCGCTACTGTTTTCGGTGGCCTCTCCCTCCTTTCAGGTGGCCTAAAGTTGGAGGAGAAGTGCAATTTTGGCGTTTTGGAGTGCATCATCCACCATCTAGGCCGCGCATTTTCTGGGTTAGCAAAGACCCAATTATACATTTCTCTCCCATTTTGAACTTTAGCTACTTTGGGCCTTCCCTTTTCTAAAATCCAATTTCTTTCTTCTACCTTATGGGCTTGCTCAATTACTTCACTTATGTTATTGGTGTAACAACTACTTTCTTTCTACCAAATTCGTAATATAGATTAATAAAAAGACAACATATTTATTAAAACAGTTGGGCCCAAAAATTTTCTTTACTTAATAATTACATTCTTTATAAAACAAAACATCATGTGTACAAAGACTCTCAAAACGAAAGCAGTGGACAGTGCAGCCAAGTCTCCCCGCTCGCCGACGTCCATCCGACCAGATCCTCACCTATTTCCTATACAACAAAGAAAACAACGGAATGAGCATAAAGATGCCCAGTAAGTAAAAATCTCTTACTCTATCATCCCCGTGCATTACTCATCAATTCTCTTCGTATTCTTATCAATTTTCTAATTCAAAATCTCATTTTTCTTTCTTTTCTTTCTATTCATTCTCATTCCACTTTCTCATAGCGGAGACCGCTATTTCTCATAGCGGTTGACATGCATTCTGCTCTCTCATGGCGGAGACCGCTCTTTCTCATAGCGGTTGACATGCATTCCGCTCTCTCATGGCGGTTTACATGCATTCCGCTCTCTCATGACGGAGACCGCTCTTTCTCATAGCGGTTTACATGAGGGTAACTCTACACTCACGAGTCCCCCATCACTCAAACTATTTTCTTTTCTTTTCTGTAGCACTTAATAATCATTTTATCCTCTAGTGCTAGTTCTTTCTTTCTCTTTACTCTAAGAGAATTGATTATTCTCTTTATCTCTATTCATAGAGTATTTCTTTCTCATTTTCCATATATATTTCTCATGTGATTACTCAATTAAACATATGCATATGGATGGCAGATGCCTAAAATCTTTCTTATATGCATTCATGACATGCAAATATGCTATATTGCATAAAGTAAGGTTCTCTACTTCTACTCATGCTTCTTTTAGACATTTCATCAAACAACATGTGTGCATACATAAACTCTATTCTAACTTTAATTATACTTCTTTCTTAATCATCCCAAAATAGGATTTCAACTCCTTTAAAATATCATACAACCTGCAAGGCAAAACACACTTCAATGATCCTCTCAAATCCTTCTAATTCTACTCACACTTCTTCCAAACTTTAACAACACAATCCACCCTTCTCATGGTGGGAATTCTTTCTTATAACAACTTTAAGTTCATCAACTCATTTTAAACATAGAAATTCAAGCATCAAGCATACATCTAAAAATCTCTACACATCATTCAATCAAGTAAATCACAACTTAGGTGAATTTACTTACCTTGGACACAAGTAGAAACCACTTAAACTCTCCACTCTTGATGGCTTGACACTTTCTCTTAACCTTCAATACATAACTTAATAAGGATCCTACTCTTTCAACAAATAAAAATTACTTCTAGAGTAGGGATTCTTACCTTATTGCGCTTTGAATCAACTTGTAACAATTTCTAGTCAAAAGCTCTTCAAAGATCCTTGGAAACTTGAATGAAGAATTGAGAGAAATAAGGGATGAAAGAGGCGGTGGTGAAGAAGCAATTGAAAGGGTTTCTAAAGCTAACCCTTAATATCACATATTTTCTCTCCTCTTTCCCAAAATACCCTTACTCTCACTTTGAAATTCCATCTAAGACCTTTCATTCTTTGCAAACACAGCCCCAAGCAAACTATTCTCCATGCAAATTCCTTACATTTCACTCCCCACTTTTCCTGCTAAAAAGGGGTAGAGTGGTCATTGAGTCTCAAAAGGAAGAATTTTCAAAAACCCAAGGGGAACATTCAGCCGAGTCTTCGCCGCGGCGAAGCTATTTTCTTCGCCCCGGCGAAAGCTCACAGAAGTTGTACGGGTTGTAGCACCTCCTCATCACCGTGGCGACGATTCTTCTTCGCCCCGGCGAAGACTGTAACCCTAATATTTCGCCAAGTCTTACAAATTTTCAGGGAAATCACTCAACCAAACCAAGACACATTTTCATCCAAGGTTAACCAAACAATATTAACAACATACAGACTCAAATGAGGATAAATCGATAAACATTCAAACCATTCATCAAATCTTAACTACGTACCTCAAGTGGGGTGTTACAATTGGGCCTCATTAAATGCAACTCAGCCTTCACATCTTCCTTCAGCCCATTCACAAAAAGTCCCATAAGCATCTATTCTCCCAGATCTTTCAAAGGTGCAGAAAAAGCTTCAAATTCCTTCCTATATTCCGTTACCGTGGTTGTTTACTTCAACGCAGCCAGCGCTTCATAAGTTGTTCCCTGGAAAGAGGGTCGAAATCTAGTAATAAGTGCTGTTTTAAATTCCCTCCAAGATTGAATTGGTGCTCTAGCTTCCACCCATTGGAACCAATTGAAAGCCCTCCCTTCCATACACACAGCGGCTGCTCCCATCTTCTCCGATTCTTCGTATCGGTTGATAGCGAAGTACCTATCAGCTCTGAAAGTCCACCCAAACGGCCTGTCACCGTTGAAAATAGGCAGCTCCAATTTCCTGACCTTCTTGTCTTCTTTCTTTGATTCGCTACTCTGGTAACGTTCTTCCTCCCTGTTTTCGTGACTGCTTTGATTTTCTGCTTCCAAAATTTTTTCCTTTTCCTGCGAGCGTCTTTCCTCCCTCTCTTCTTTTAGCCGCATTAATTCCCTTATTTCAGTCAAACACTCTTTAACACCACCCAAATCAACCTTCATGGAAGTCATATCCTCCTTCACTGATTTAATTTCCTTCTCCACATTATCCATTCTATTTTCCATCTTAGATTTGACCATTACCCAGCCAAGCTCTGATACCAATTTGATACAGACCTTGGTTTCAATCACACTTCCAGCAATTTAAACACTCACAATTCAATGAATGTAGCCACCATAATTAAGTAGAATATAAGAGCTGAAATATATTGATAAAACTGAAGTAAAATACTCAAAGAACTGAAAAACATAAGAAATATAGAAATGGAAATAAGCACCAGCTAGCAGTTCGAGGAGTTAGCAATCTCCCAGACTAATCCTTTACAAAATAACTGAATGAATTACTCATGCAAATATTCTCCCTTATAAGCACTTTTTGGCACTCCCCTACTTATCTAACAACATGACACGTGTGCCTTTCCACTAACTAATTCTTGTTGGCTTTATCACCCCATGTGGATCTTCTCCCTTGCTTGGTGTAACGTGGCTTTATCACCCCATGTGAGCCTTCTCCCTCGCTTGGTGTAACGTTTTGTGATGGATGGTCTATCAGTGTTCAACTTCAGATATCCCTAGAAAGCTTTGTATCCGTCCGTGTTGTCCCCCACATATAATGAACTAGACTGTTATTGAATTTAAGTTATTGATGCGGCAACTACTTTACTAACTTAAAGCTAGGATGCAAAGTCAATTTGTTTACAATTGATTACTTCAATTAATTTTAAATCTAATTGTATAATGTTGCATATAATAATTAACGTTATTATCAAGTCATAAATGAATTGGGGTTAATTAACCGAGCAGCACGATCCACCTTCTTCAAGTGTCTTCACCTTTGTAATAGTAACCTTTTATTTTTACAAGCTTGCCTTTTTCTGAAGTAAAGCTTTGTCAACCAACCATAGCTTGTCTTACCCTATCCAAAGTCCAAACCCATATCTCTAAGTTATCCTTTGTACGCTCTGCCATTGGCTGCAACTATTCAATCTACGCGACAGGTAATCAATTCATAACTCTTTTATCTTATTTTCAATATTTAACTTGGTCTAATTAACATGTATTTGATTGATACATAGTTTTGTATATGGAATTTTGAGTTTGCAGATTGTGGGCATAACGAAGATGGCAAAATCAGCAGTTCTTGCTCCAGCAACAGTCACCGGTGCCTTGATAAGGTGCGGTAGCAGAACCCCGAAGAGAATGAAGAAGGTGGTGTATCTGAATGGATTGAATTCCTATGGAGGTCTTAAAGCACACAACAAGGTGGTCTCTCTCGGCCTACCACCATGCACTGAGCAGTGCTTCGCAAATGTTGTGAGCTCACTCAAGACAACATCCAAAAGAAGTGGTGGTGGTGCACTTTCTTCTACATGCGATGCTGCGTCTGAGATATTCAAGATTGCTGCCATCATGAATGGACTTGTTCTAGTTGGGGTTGCAGTTGGCTTTGTTCTTCTGCGAATTGAAGCATGGTTAGAAGAATCTGAATCTGAGTGACAAATATTCTTCTCTACCTAATGTTTAATTGATTTGTTTTGCTGTAAAATCAAAGTTTGCAGGAAAACTCTTTGTAATTTTTCGCAATAAATTTAATCTTTAGTTTACACATTCATTACCCTTGTTGTTGGATTGCAACTCTGCCAAATTCCATAAGGAATAAACGAGAAAAGAAGCGAAGGTAGCGTCAAGCCATCAACGACAATTCAACCAATTAAACACCCACTTCTCGAACAAATTCAAATTCTGATCAACAATTTAAGGCCATAAGAAGTATAGGTGCCATTATGATTGCAATTTGTTTATTTTACATGTTAATTTCAAGATTCTAATCATATAAAAAGAGAAGAGTCCCAAGAGAGTTATAAATTTCAAATGCCATCATCGCATGAACGAACTCAAACTCAACTAAACAGACCAGTGACGAAAAACCAAAAAGGTCGGCAGGTTTCTTTAGTCCACTCCGGTTTTTTTACATATGTATAAGATAAAGACAAAAACCTGCCTGTTCGTAAACTCTTTTTCATGAAGAGCCCCGAAAACATCAAGCTTAATTAAGAAACTCGGGGATCCAACGAGACAACAGGTGCTTGTAAGGCAAGGCCTGTCCAAAATTTTCATGAATTTAACTATTGGGTTACATCAATGAAATTTCTATCTGAGTTGGTAATTAAGAAGATTTAGATCAAAATTAATTAGATACACCACAAACTAGAACATTAATGTGAAATTAAAGCAAAAGGCATTGCCGTCACAAGGGAAACATTGATTGGAATAGGCCCTCTGAAAGAGAATCAAGCTGCCGCAAGAATATTGCCTCAGAAGAAAATGGTGGGCTACCTTAGGTAGATGGTCTCTGACATGCAGCAAAAAGTTGCCAACTAATGAAAGCCATCATCAAAGAGGTAAAAAGTTCAAAGCCTACCACCTTTGGGAATTGCCATCCCAATCCTCGCCTCAGATAGCTACAAAAGGCATTTATCAGTACAACAGAAGTAAAGATGGATACTATTACAAAATGCATTAGCTAGTGAGGATCTCATAAATCACATGATAAGACATACTGATAACAATCTGATGAAGGTAACGAAGCCTGGCTAAAAGTTACAGAAATAATTTAATCTAAGAGACCTTACATAACATAAGGCCCTTCGAGTTCCTATATTTCAAAGTTGATTGACTATAAGTAATATTATCCATTTCAATGTGTCCCTACAAAACTCAAATCTTAGAGAAGTAAAATAAGATCAACTTTTGTTCTGATGTAAGTTATAATTTTGTGAAGAAGGTTGAAAAGAAGATGACCTTGTAATGGATGGCATGGTTGCTACAATTCCTGCACATGCATATATTATAGGAATTAAAGTCTTGGGTTTGTTCTTGCGAAGCCACATCAAAGATCCTAATGCAGCAAGGGATATGCTCAACACCTGAATACAGAAGCCATGACAAGATGTTTCACTTTAGAGTACAAACCCAAAATTCCACGGAACAAATTGACCTACTAAAGTATTGCTAAAATTTCCATGCTATAAGATCAGTGAATGAATGGAACTTCTATCCATCAAAGATATAAACATACCAAATTTGCATTAGCCTCCAGGCCTTGCAAAATGTAATCCCAAGTAAACTCCAGTCCTCTAGCACCCACCCAAAGTGGTGCCAATCTATGTAGTACAGAATCCGCAAAAGCCCACCCTGCCAACAAAGGGAAAGAAAGTTCAATAATGTCATTGAACGTTATACAGATGGTTTAAGAAGTCCATACACTTAAAGACATAAGGTATACAGATGCAACATGTTACCATTTCTGGCTTCTAAACAGTTTACTTCTATCACAAACTTAAAGGACATGCACTTACAATTTAGCATCTCCAATACAGATCATGTTTAAGAAAGGACAATATAGATAATGAAGTCAGTACATAACATAATATATCAGTGAATACAACCAGCAGTCTTTTTTATTACCCATAGTGTGCATCAAAATTTTGATGAAATTATGAAAGGTATACATGCTTAGGAGAACTAAGCTTCCTTGCTCGATCATTTCTCTCCTCTATCATTTTCTCCCTCTCTCTCTTTTGGGTATTATTTTCCTTTTAGTTGCTTAAAAGATGTAAGTTAAAGTATTAGGAAACAAAAACTTGTGAAACTGATCTTGTTGATTTATACCATTTCCCTGACTATAGAGCAAAAAGAGAGCACAACAGAAATTCTTAAAGCAGTGCCTTCATGAATATATATCATAAATAGCAGATAACATATTAATAATTATTTAACTTTTTTTTTTCCGGTATTACAAAGAGAGAGAACATAAAATTTTTATATACAAACAAAATGTGACTGAACAAAGTTTCACTCACCAAGCCCAACAGCTTGAAATTTATGATTCTGAGAGATGTTCCTGTGAGTCAACTGGGTCAAGGCAAAGTAAAGCCCAGCGACATCTATAAAACCGATCAGTGCTTTCAACAGTTCCTGCGGATAAATGCCACACATTTTTATGATGATCAAATCAGCGCAAGTAATCCACCAGAAAAAAAAAACAAGCATATCTCGGTACACATGAAACCTCTTTAATTCAGACTACCTATAGAGCTACCAAATGCTAATGTTGCATGGATTTACTACTTCCTTTTAAATGTTGTGGACTTTCAAGGTCAAGCATATGTTGCAGTCCAGAAACACCAACTCATGATCTTATCAAACTTATGCCACATGTTCATAATCTCTGTACTCCTAAATATCACTTAAAAAGTAGATATTGAGGTACTGATCTAAACCAACTGATGTCACAAAGTCGCTAGTTAGGATTCAAGATATACTCAGAAGGAATAAGAGACGTAAACGATTGTCTTTTTATTTAACATTTAGTTCACATGCCATGCACCCTTGGAAATCAGCTTTAACATTCATTGTAAACGCCCAACCAAAAGGACCAGCATGCCCAATTCTATGAATAATAGAGAAATATTGACAGTAAATTTTTGCAACCAAGTTAAACTGGGTAAGGATATTCATGAAACAACTTGTCAATTTTTTGTATTGGAGAACACCTTCGCTTCAACATAGCATAAACTAACTAGGTTCAAATGGAACAGCAGGAAACAAATAAGTCCGCCAGGAAATTGAGATCACAAAATCTATTCATAAAATTCATATAACGACTTCTTTTCTATTATTTTTCAATAAATAAAAATCAGACAATTGAAGATGAAATAATAGCAATACCTGATATGGGTCAAAGTTGTCATTCTCTGATACCTTAAGAAACGTCGCCAAACAAACAAGCTGCCATCAAGCATGTCAGTTAGTTTTAGTTAAGGCATAGCTTAACTAAAATAAATCAATTTAATTAATGAACTAACCTTAACCAAAGCTGTTCCGAGATAAACAAGAGCGGCTTTAACAGAAGTACCAAGTGTGTCATACTCAGATCTACACGTATGAATAAAATTAGCTAGAAAATAAAGTTTACAAATAAAAAAAGAAATCCAAAAAACAAAAACTGGAACTGGAAAAGCAATGGAAAGGAAGTAAAAAGAAAACGTACAATGGCGTTGCGGAGTAGTAGACGGCGTGAGGACCGAAAGTAAGAATCGCACAGTTGAAAAAGTGAAATACCGTCATCTTTCCTTGAGATTTTCTCTCTGTTTCTCTAAATTGCAGCGAAGATCCAACAAGAACTAAAGCGAGAAAGTGAGAGAGTTGGAGCTGAGAAATCAGTAATCAGTAGAGAAAAGATCGATGATTTAGTCGGATCTAATTAATTAGGCCTGGACCCGTTTAAGGCCATTGGATCTAGGAGTATAATTGGGCCTAAATTGATATTAGCCCAAAGAGTGTATTTGGCCTTTAGTCTTGCATGAGTGTATTGGTCTTGAAACTTTTGTTTCATCCAAAAGGTTTTTGGACTTTACAGCAAGAACTAAATCCAAAACACAAAAAAAAAAAAAAAAAAAAAAAAGGAGCGAAGCGAAAAACAATTTTCCTTCTTTTATTTATTTATTTTTAACTCATCAATTAGCAGTTGACTAATATGTGTAGCTTAATATAATTGTACACATCAATGCCTAATTTCATCAAGGATTGAAAGGATAAGAACATTACAATAACAAATTAGTACTAGTACGTAACCTCTCCCTCGGATGGCAAGCCCTTAAACAATTGAGGTTAGCTAGGTGTGATCAGTTCCGGATACCCTGCATTTTTTGAAGAAACCAGAACCAGAATCGGAATCGGAATCAGGCGGTTTTAGTTCCTAGAAACTTGGAACCGAAACCTGAAATATAGGTCCAACTACCCGATTAATTGCAATTACCCCAAACTTTAAAAAAAAAATGACAAATACACTCGTAACAGTTTACAAAACAATTTAGTCTCGATTCCTACCTGGGTACTTGGACCTTGGTTTTGGTTTCATTTTTGGTTCCAATACTGCAAGAATCGGAACTGGACTTGGGAATTTCGGGTTCTAATTTTCTAGAACCGGAATCGGACCTTAATGGGCTAATTCTAGTTCTACCATTTATCCATACTAATCCCCAAAGTTAGCTATACCCAAGGGTCTTATGTTCGAGTAGTATATTGCAAATTCAATTACTAGGTTTACCCAAAATTTGTACTAGGACGTTGCAAATTCAATTATTTGTATATGTGATCAAGATATTTTATGATGGTGTTACCTTACCTCCATATATTTATTGGAGTTCATCTGCTAAGTTTTAATGTCAAATTTGATTATGATACTTTATTTTATTTTTTTAATTTGTCAGCTGTCATTGGAGTTCTTTATAGTTAATCTTTTATGACTTTATGTAGGTTAAAAACAATGAATAGAACAATATCTCGAGGTAGTTATGGTTGATGTGATATATATTGTTCTTGTTAATTAGTATTATAGTATATGATCACTGTCTTTCAAAGATAATTAGGGTTGTGCAATTGTTGGTCCAAGATATAGAAGACAATTTATTGGTAAATATAAAAAAGTCGCTTTGTCTAATGATCTCTCTCAGTTATTTTCCTATTCTTCGGCTAAATGCCGTGATGCTCATTGAAGACGGTACACTTGGATGCAATCTACGTTTAAGTCATGTTGTGTTTCCCAATTTCCCATTTGAATTTGTCTTGTTGTTTTTATTATTTTTCTTTCAAACCACCAACTAAAAACAAACACACATTCTTTCTTCCGAGGGTACGTTATCACAGAGTATCATATGGCCGGTTATCAAAGATATTTCAAGAATAAGTTCAACAAAAGAATTATGACAATAAGTATGTTCATGATGTGTTTTTTGTTTCTGGTGATGCATAATTAAGAGGATCAGGCCAAGCGCATTCTGGGAGGAGCGAGCCAGGTGTGCATGTGTTGCCAAAAAGAAAACTGTTCATATCGTTTTCAAAATTATATTATAATAAGAGCAATAAGGTGTTTATAAATTTTAAGGTTGTAACAATACGTATTAATCGTTAAATGTATTTTGTATGAAGTTGAAAACATTATACTATACGTCATGGAAGCAGCAGTTATTCCTCCATGAAAGGGAAGTGGGAATTTATTTTTGTAGATGCTGACATTTAATAATGGCTTAGTTTTCCTATACAACAACTTGCAATTGGCAGCCAAAAATAGTGTTTTTTTTCTGGAAACATTGGAAAGAGTCAAAAATTTAGGCAGTAAAGAGAAACATAAGCTTTGAACCAAATATAAAAATGAAAACACATTGTGGTCCATGCGACAACTATGGGAAATTGGGACTAAGACGGTTTCAAGAGAATATTTAAAAACCCAACTTTCCAATCAATAGAAAAAAGAAATTTTAAGGATTGAAATCAATAATGGAGAGAGAGAGGAAGAGGAGGTGTGAATGCAACTGGTAATGGTTTGAAAGAGTTCTTATAATTATGGGCAGCATATAAATAATTAGTATTGAATAGAATATTATTATTTATAATTCAGATTACCTTAAATTCTTGCCAACTAACTGATCACATTCTTCTTCATATAGGGTATTATACTGAAAAATGGTAATGGTTTTGTTATTGTTTGACTGGGGAGTTAGATTATTAGTATGAATGAAAGATCTGAAATAGCAAGTTGAGAGGGTAATGTGATGTCGAGTCTGAAAATCCCAACAAGAACTGTTTACAGGCACATGATCGGCCTGTAAGTGGGACCCTTGATTTAATTACAGTCCATGAAGCCACGTTTTTTATGTAGATGGGTCGGGACAGCCGGGTTGGGTTGCTCAACTTTGAAGTTAAAAACCCCGTGCCTTCCTTCATCTATAAAGCTATTATAACAGTATAACACGATATAAAGATTTTCTGGTTTTTTGGAGAGTGGTTCTTGGACTTTTAGCTTATACGGATACTTTTCTGAGTTTTCCCTTTCTGTCTAATTAATTATGTGGCTCCACTTTCTGTTCTTTGAAAGATAAGAATCGTACTGGTTTTTTAAATTCCAAGAAACATTCATTGATCTTAGAGAGAGAAAGAACGAGAGACAGGGAGTAACACAGAACTTTGCCTTTGCAGGAAGAAGGTACCTACTACCTATCCATCCCCTTCATTTCACCTCAATCGATGTAACTCTTGAGTGACTGAAAACGATCGAAACCCAGATCAAACTCAGATAACGATTCAAACAAGTAATGAATATGCTTCCCAAAGAAACAAAAAAAAAACAAAAAAAAACCCTTATACCTAGAAAGGAATAATCAACATTACTATATTTAAGTTGCTTAGACGCATAGATATGTGATATGTATGTAATATATATAAATATATTTTCCTGATAAAATTTAGCTTAAATATTTCAATATGAGGTAAATTCCAAAGCAGCCAGCTAGGTCAAAGGTGATGATCTACGTTCTCATTAAGATACCTGGGTAGTGCTTTTGAACAAACCACTGCAATGGTTGTTCATCTGATAAACTACTTAAGATTAATGGATGGCAATATGAAGTATCCATGTTTCTGGAGAGAGAAAGAAAATTGATGATGGAGAATAGGGTTAATTTCTGTATGTATATCGATCATATGAAATGGAAAAAATCTCTGAGCAGTAATTTGCGTTAACTTTGATATGTCTTATCTGGTAGGTGTATGCACTTGTTTGATATTTCCAAGCTAATTAAGTTGGTGGGCACATTTTTGTGTGTAAATCATAGCCCCAGTTTCAAACTCTAGTTGTGAAAAAAAAGGGTGAATGTTTCAAGTTCAAGTGTAAGATTATTTATCTTTCTTTCTCTTCTTTATTTTATTCTTTTGCGATTAGCAAGAAACAAAAAAATTATTGTGGGTTCTGACTTCATTCATCTGTACTATCTTAAATCTTCTTCAAAATTGACTTCATTTTCACCTTGGCTCTCAAACATGGGCCACTACGATTTCGGTTGCCCATAAGCCATTGCTTCAGAGCTCCTGCGGAGGCGCGTGTGAAACAATACTAACCATGAACCATCTACTTGTTTGAACCAGTGGCTACCAAGTTAACGTGGCGTCGGCAATCAATCAATTCTGAAGATTTTAAATGAGTTTTGACCGTCTTGTTACTCATAATTAAGTGATTATTGTTAATGGTGATAATGACTAACATCTTTTTATTAATTATTTTCCAAGAGAGCATCATTTGTCGTTTTGATATAGCTAATATTATTAGCCTTGTACTCTTATGTCACACCACAAGACATGAAAATTTTACAGAACAATTTAAACGATGTGTTGAATTAGTACACCATGTTATTCTATTCATCTATTGTACTAAATGTTGATATTATTCTGATGTAATGTCGTGATGCACGTCAGCCTAAACGGCGTAGATTTCGGTGATTCCTTCCTTTCTCTTCTGTCCTTCTCTACAATACTCAAAAGACTGGGAGAAGGTGACGTTCTAATTTCAAAGCAACACATGCTTGTATCCTTATCTCACGAATCACTATGAAGAACCTAATATTCTTCCAAATGGTATAATTTTATTTTAATCTTCAAGACAAAGTTAGAAGAATGAAATTTAAACCATCCAGTAACATGATTTGTAAATCCACCATTTTTTGAACTCTGGCACTCTTTCTTTAATTACCTACCTAGCTAGCCAGCTACCGAAACCCTTAACTTGATCAGCGTGCACTTTATATAATTTAAAACTTGTTTAGCAATCTCACAGAGAGCCAAAAGTCATGGCAACCAGGTAATGCATTGCCAATGCGCTGTTAATTAAGTTATAATCAAATTGAACTTGTGTTAAAATAGGTTAGGAATATTTTAATATATACTGGTATTGTATAAGATCTCTTCCAGTATATTTTGTCAGGAAACCTTACTGTTGACCAATTATAATGAACTTTATATATACATATATATATAATAGAGAAAGTATGTAATTATGAGTTCTAGCTTTCTCTGCACATTATTTATGAGTACTGTTTCTTCTATATTGAAATATATATATATATATTTTTTGATTACCCAGAAACCAAAAAATTCCAGTTAAGATTGTTTGAACGTGAATATGAATGGGGGGTCGTTCTTTTGGGGTTAATTAAAATTAGAGTAATATGGTTAGTTAAAAAAGATTAGGAAGAGAAGAAGACAAACACATGGAATATGGAATATAGCCAAAGCATTTGACAACATTGCAAGTGAGCCATAGAGAGACATGTTGACCGGATATAACCTTACTGCAAGCTGATTATTCAATAATCCAAAGAAAGAGAGAGAATTCAATAGAAATAACAAAGTATAAGAAGAAAATAAAAAAGTTTTCATTTCCCGGAGAATCTAGAGCGCATCAGACGCTGACCATGGCTTCGAAAACTATTAACAAATGATTAAACATTTTTCTAGTCATCTTGTTGTTACTCTAATCACCAAATAAACAAAAAAAAAGAGAAGCCATGGGATTGCGAGCTTAATATTTTATTGGGAATACACAGGAAATAACAACAAGAGAAGAGAACAAATAAGGAACTTATCACCTAGACAAGGTCACGTCCTTAAGGTCACGTGATCAGAACCATGTCGACGCCGAGGATTATGGTCTTTCTTTGTGGCTTTCCACGCGCGGGTGGGGCTCGACAGGTAGGAATATTTCGACACGGAGAGGGAATATTGGAGAGGTGAGAAGATCATATTAGATTAGACAAATACTAGCCGTTGAATATAACTTTCACTTACACTTACTCCAACCATTCCCACCTCCCTTTCCATCCACGCGCCATTCAACCCTCCTTCTTTGTTCAACATATATACATTAACATTATACCAACTTTCAGATAATAAACGAAAATAATCCCTGTGAAATATTAGAGTCTTCTTGGGCATGATTATGGTTTCTCTTAGATTCTTGTAATGATTTGGTAAAAGAAAACAAAAGGTTTCTGTAATGTAAGGTGGGTCACTAGAAATGGCAGGAGGAGAGGAGGAGGTGAACTTGAAATAAAGCGCGTGGGGTGGGAAGAAATTGAAATGGGTGAAAGAGAGAGAGAGAGAGAGAGAGAGAGAGATGCATGTGGGTCTGAGACCCTGGTGTCGCCGGACAATCTGACACTTTTTCCTTCTGAATAGTCCATATTCCTTTTCTCCTTATTGCTCACGAGACCATTTTAATCCTTTAGTACATTTTTTTTTTTTTTTGTTTCAATTCTCATTGGGTGTTCGCACGTGTACAGCTCGATACTTATTGGCAATGTGATATTTTGCTACGTGCACTCAAGTCTAGATTGTATTTGTATGTCGAGATTCTTCAGTTCATGCCCATTTAAGTTGCACTTTTAAACGACTTCAATAAAGCTGGCACTTCAATTGTCGGTTTAGACTTTAGATTCAGATTCATTAACAACTTAATATTACTGTAGAATTTAGTACAACATATATAACGGAAGACATAACTGATAATGGAAGAGTTGTCAACAAAATCTAGTGCTTCATCATGCTACGTGCAATAATAATGCACCTAAAAAATAAATATTGCAAGTTCAAGCTTTGGTACAATTTAGGAAGGATTTGCTTGCATGATCTCTCCATTTAATATGTGGATTAACTAATAATTATCAGTCATAATACTGTACTTAAGTTTGTGAGATATATGACTTCACCCTCGATCCCAATGTTATTTACTTCAGCTTTGGACAAGTGCGGTTGATGTGTGCATGCATGGAGTCCAGCCTTGAACAGAGATATTTTGAGCTGCCAGTCAATCCACGTTCATGAAGTAAAACGGGGAATAGTCTTATTAAAAACGAGGTTAAAAAAGGTTTTATTCAAGTAAAATAAAACCTGACAGAAACAAAAATAGTAGGGAATTTAAATGGGTCGCCCTCTATCAACGTAGTAGAGAGTGAGAGGGAGAGAGAAAGAGAGTCAATTCCATTCCAAATATTCCATTGAACAGTCCCCTATTTGGCCTTTTTTTATCATTTTTTTCTCTCTCGAATTCCAACCATTCCCTGTATAAATCACTATTAAATAATTGTATCCCTGCACCTCCCTTTCATTCCGCATTATAAAGATAAGTAAAACGGACCTCTATCTTTCTTTCTCCGTAGGAAGGTCTCTGATCCCTCTGCGTCCTTAAAAACACAACTTCCCCTTTTCGCAAACTTTTCCTTCAAACTATCATCCCCAAAAGAAAGAAAGAAAAAAAAAAAAGTTCATTTACTTTCTCTTTTCCTGCATTTTTTTTTATCTGACTAGGAGTCTCTGCAATCTTTCCCCTCTGTATCTAATTTTCTTCCCTTCTGATCTTTTATCCACCCTAGAGGAAGCCTACTAAAAAGTTTCCTATTCACCCTAAACACGCCTATGCAAATCAATAATCATAAGGCACTCATCATATAATCACAACCACTCCTTTTCAGTTCTCCTCAAAGGTAGCTCTCCTTTCAATGTTCTAACCCATTTTTGTTTCCTCATTAATTCCTATCAAACTTCTTCACATTCCCTAGCTCTCTTATTCCAATAACTCTTTTTCTTGTCAAGTATTGACTGACCAAGTGTTTGGTTTTTGACTAACTTAGATCTCAATCGTCCTCATGTTCTCAAGTTTGAACCCTATAATGAGAACCGCAACAAATTTGCCTGATCTTTCTCTCCAGATCAGCCCACCATCTGCCTCAGATTGTGAAGCCAAAGAAGTAGGATTTGATGGATTGCCAAGAAATGCACTCTATAGTGATGGGAGCTCAGCCACCGACTCCGGTAGCAGTGGCAGCGATTTAAGCCATGAAAATGGCTTCTTTAATCCAGACAGGAGCACTTATAATCTTGGCCCTTGTGAGCCTACGTTGAGTCTAGGATTCGAAATGGTTGATTTAGCTCCTCCTCCCTCACTACAACTACCAAGAAACCTTAATCATCATCAGCAATATCAACCTCAAATCTATGGCCGTGAGTTCAAGAGGAATGCAAGAATGATTAATGGAGTGAAAAGAAGCATTAGAGCTCCCAGAATGAGATGGACAACAACTCTACATGCCCACTTTGTTCATGCGGTCCAGCTTCTTGGAGGCCATGAAAGTAATACATAACAACAAGATAAAATATTTTTGCATCAATTTGTTCCATATATATATCATGCTTATTTCGAGCTTGCTTTTTTCCTATGCAATACCATCGTAGTTATTTTTGTTGGAGAGATAAGCATCGTTAGGTTAACTTATTTTTATTGATGAATGTCACAGGGGCAACTCCAAAATCTGTCTTAGAGTTGATGAATGTGAAGGATCTAACCCTAGCTCACGTGAAGAGTCACTTGCAGGTGGGGTTATTGTTTTCAATCTCCCTGAATTTAATCTTATGTATGAGATAGATTTTACTGTGATTTTATAATTGTTTTTGCACCTTTATCGTATTCTATTTTTGTATTTGCTATGATTCAATTGTAGTGGGGTGGAGAACAAGGGGAAAGGACAAAATGGCATCTAAGGGTAATCTTAGCATTATTGACTTTTTCTCATTTTTTCTCTGTGGGTGTTCATGCAGATGTATAGAACAGTGAAGAGCACTGACAAAGGATCAGGTAATTGGATTGTCCCTCAATGAACTCCAAATTTTATTGCTCTTCTATTATTCTCTTTGTTTGGGATCTTGGTGATCCAAGTGTGACAGAAACCCTATCATTTGAATCACTGTTCCCAACTAATACAAAATGGTTTTTAGATGGGACTGACTTCAGTCCATGTGATGAATTATTTGCTTGGTGTCTGATAAAGCAAGTGCAATGGCTCTATCTAATATGAATGTTGCAGGTCAAGGGCAGACAGATACAGGTTTAAACCAAAGGACAGGAGTTGTTGATGCAAATGGAGGATTATCTTGTGGAAAAACTGATACCAAACCTTCTTCTCTCAACCCATTACTAGCATCACCACAGCCAACACAACAGAAATGCCAAAGGTACATTTCCTTGTGACAGAACAAAACCCAAATAATGGATTCAATGCAAACATATATGCACGCATGCACAAAACTGTGTTTGTTACCGACTTTTCTGGTCTAAATGGTGTCTGTCTTCCAAATGGTGTACATAAATTGATTTTATTGATGTAAGTATGTACATAGATATTGATGGACATGACCTAGGGTTCGTAGGTTGAATGAATGCAGATTTTACGTGTGGCCTCTATAAAAGCCAAGGTTTCACGCCTCTCATCCGTTCGATTGTAAACTCGTTGATCCCTATATATGTCACAAAAGTCAATGCTTTTTGTCCAAATCTCAATACCGTAGCGAATCTCAAACGAGAATTTTGGTGCCATAACTCATAATTATTATCGGAGCACCGTGGAACGGTGGAAGTTGCCTTGTTTTTGGATGATTAAGAAATTAATATTTCATTATTGGCTGAATTCGCTTAAGCTATGGCTGTGGGTGAAATCTCTAAAATGGGAAGACTGAGTTATTCCAAATCACTCCATAATCCATATTCAGATTAATACGGTACAACAACATGAAACATTACCACCAAAAGGATATGTTTATTTAATATACTGAACATGATGCAGCTGCATTATTTTTCATTCGCTTTGATTTACTCAAAGAAAAACTGTCACTGACTTGGTAAATATTATAGCATACTGAAGAAGTAGATTTGTTCTACGTATCAGCATTATTGTAGCTTTCAATAGTGATGCTTTAACTTCTTCCCGTACAAGAGATTTTGATGCATTACTAATTAAATATTACTTGGTCAGAGGGTCAGTGCCATCAATGGAGACAGACGACGAGAGGAGTATATCAGACAATGCAAATGCTTTGACATATTCTCATTTCAAGGGAAATGATACTAAGGTATGTTATATGGCTGAAAAAAAAAAAAAAAAAAAATATGGAAAATGCATGTTGAAATTGAATTACATTTGTGTTATTTGAATATGTAATTATTTATCTGATGTACTTTAATATTTTTAATAGGTGGACGGACGCAGGGCAGCCCTCCATGTGTCTGATCACAATGTGGTGGAGAGGTTGGATTCTAACTCCTTGGCACCTTCTGATAAATTTCTTAATCTAGAGTTCACCCTTGGAAGACCAAGTTGGCAAATGGACTATGCTGAATCCTCAAAAGAGTTAACCCTCCTAAAGTGTTGAAATATCACTAAGTCCATTAATTGATGTAATGTTTTTTTGCTTTTCAATGTGAAGGAAATAATTTCTAATTACCTTGCATTGGCAAGTTTTGACTACTGAACTTTAGAAAATTAAGGGCGAATGGAAAGGTCTAACTCTTATTTTGCTGGATCCCCTAGATTTGAGAGATCAATGTGCGTAGCTAAATCTAGTGTCTACTGATTTTCCTCTATTGTAAAAGACTTTTAATTATTCATCCCAAATTCTGCTGTACTAATTATCTCGATAGGCCATGGTCTATAATAATGGTCCTTGCCAGAGGGCCATGGCTCACCCTCTCGATTGGTCCAGATTAATGGAAAGGTAGGGCGAATTTCTTGTGTAAAATATCTGTGAGGTACCGTTATGTCAATCATTTTCACCATTGCTAGCTGTTCAAAATCAAGCTGGTTTTGTCCATCCTCCTCCGCTGATCGATTGTAGGTTTGAATCCAAATAACCAATAGCAGAAAGAGGTCTCCTCCATTACTATCTTAATAAGGACCTATCCATTTTCAAATGATCAATAATATTGTGCAGAAAGCTACCCGTTAAAGGAACTACTCTATTTTATCAAATACATAAAATCACTTTTTGCATTCCAGTTTCTTGATAGGTCATTTCAATATAGGTATGTATGTTATTAAAATCACCCAAATCCAAATGGGTTTTCTTTCCGATCCGGAAAAATAGCTCAAAAGCAGTTAGCAATAAAGACATATGTAGCATCTATATCTTTTGATTATGACATGAGGCTGAAAAAAAATGGGAGTTATAATTAGACTAACTACGCTACGGACCCTTTTCTAAAGTTAAAGCTATGTTATGAACATGTCTTGACTTTCCAACAAAAATTTGTCAAATCAAATTAATTATTCTTTCTGCTATGTTTGTTTCAAATGCCTATAGATAGGCGTACAAAAATACATGATCTGAATTTTCACAGATATATATATGATCCTTTTGTTAGTCTATGAAATCGCTAAGAAGGCAACTGGGTACAGCAATTAAACCTTGAATTTCTTGTAATTTGCTTATTTAGTTGGATATTTTTTGTCCTTGAAATTAATGGTTGGGTAAATTTTTAATGATTATCCCTATAAATCGAATTCAAGATTTTTTTTGGATAAATATCATAAAACTTTTAATTCATGATCTTTTAGATAAATATCCTCAGAATCCTTATTTAACCAGTCGTGAGGGTGGTTGTCAATACTTATTATTCTAGCTCTAGCATAGTTTTGATACCTGTAAGGAGGCAGAAGAAATAATCAAACTTTATATCTTGTAGCACATTGCCCTGTTTAATTAATGATAAAATATGGACAGCAATCTGCCATGACTTACTCTACGCTTTACAGTTTATGAATTTGTCAACTACTTACATGATCCATTTTTCCATCAGTAATCTGTAAACTCAGTGACTCTTCACATAAAAGAAGGCCAGACAAGAGCAATTATGGATGGGCTCCAGAGAGAGTACAATAGAATTATGGGCCATCAGGTCATAGATGCAGTGCAATTATTATTCAAATATTATTTAGATTTTTCTATTTAAATTTATCAAAATGTTTTTGAAAAATTAGTATTTTATGATTTTATCTAATTGCGCCCAAGAGTAATAAGTATGACGGTTTGACAGCAGGGATGGTAACCAGTGCAGGTGGAAGAAATGAAAAGTAGCACAGTAGATGATTGTACAACCGAGAAGGCAGAAAGTGTAGTGTTGGTATGATTGTGGATTGTCTCTTGCGTTGAAATTGTTTTAATGTCAGTAAAAGTAATGGAGCACCAAGCAAAATCGAAACCACAGCAGAGCAGAATATCTTTTTATTTCAGGGAAATTTCCACACTGTTCATCATTACCATGAATCTTTTCTTAGATTTTCAGACAAAATGTATGTACCTGTCTCTTTCTATAATTCTCCTATGTTCCACTACGTTTGTCTGTTCCGTTTCTTCCAACTTTATGCAATTTCTTTTTTTTAACAGTTGACACCGTTGATTGTCACTGTTCTGGAAAAAAAAAATTATGTGGATTAAAAAGCATCTTGACATCATGATTGATTATTATTTGCAAATCAACAATTAACCATATTTAGTTTTTTAACACATAGTTTTTAAATTAATCAATTTTCGCGGATTCAACTTGGTTTAACAGGTTGTTCTCCAAGTATTTGATAAAATGCATATGTTGTTTTAATACTGAAGTTCCTGAATTTAAATTGATGGGAATTTCTGGGTTTTCCGGGCTGAATATTGGTTTTGTTTTAATTGGATTGACCTTTCCTCTTCCAGTTTGTTAGTAATTCCAAGAACTAGGATGCCTCAACGCCAATTGTTTTTCTTTTAAGTGAAGAAAATAGTAAGATACTCAAGTTAAAGAAAAGATTAGATTACTTTGAACTCTCTGGGAAAGAAAAGGAGGCCTTTGCTTTGGTTTAAAATTATGCTTTCTTTCTAACGTCATACTTGAAGTCAAAGCTTAGCTAAGTTAAACTGATATATGCATTTTTGGGTTTTGGCTAAAGTTGAACTAGTGGCATAGTTAATCATACATGATCATCCAAAAGGCATAATGAAAGGTGGAGGTAATAAGGAGTGGCCAAATTGTTAGTTCTTGCTTTCTTTTGCAATATTTTTCTTGCCATTGGCCTGATTCATGATTTGGTAAAGTAAATGGAAAGCGTAGTGGAGAAAATCAGAGAACAATCTAAGCGCAATATCGGTCTCATTTTGTTGTCTTTTCGACCAGAGGATGTTATTGGATAAGCTTTGTTGATCTTCCTGCAAACATAGTTCTCTTTGATTTTCTTTATCCTTTAGATTTAAATAACAATCACCAAAGGGTAGTTATCTGCTGACTGCTGATACTATCACTAGAAAGAAAATGCACTAATTGCTAGAACAAAGCATCCAGATTCCTACAAAGATATTATGGTGAGAAGATGCAGTATATTAATCTTGATATGTGGTTGCTGATGTTGAATTGGGAATATGGCATGACCCACGTATTATAAATCATATTTAGCAACCAGCTCTCACCTCCCTATTAAATGACTCAAGGAATCAGGAATGCATTGGATATGCGTAGTCAACTTAAGCACACTGCACACACTTTGTTATCATACATGGTTTCTTCACTAATAGATATTATCTATCTGAAAAGAGACGATCACTTTGCAATTTGTTTATGTGGTGACTTAAGTTGACTTGTACGATTCACCAATCTTTAGGAATATGACCTGGAAGGCTGGAAGGTTGCATGATTATTCATGCGTTGAACTTTTATTCTCACTGTTGTATGGAAGGAGTCCCTCAAATGTAGCAGGCTTCCACCGGTAAGCATGCTGCTCTCAGGTAAATTGAAGCCTAGTGAACATGCTTTACAGTTTGAAGGGAGAACTAATGACAATGATCACGCCTTTCTGATCCAAATTGTAGTAAAAGTTCTTATCCATTATTTATTTATTTAATTTTTGTTTCATAAAAGTTATTGAATTCATTCAAACCTATAGGATTTAACCTAATTGGTTAACCAGTTCTGAATTGTTGATACTTTTGGGTAGCCAGAAGCGGTGGTGTTTGTGTTGAAAACTATCACTTTGTTTCAAAAAGAGACAGTATATTAATTAATTAATTAACTGAAAGTAGAAGTATAGTTAAAATAATGTTAAATTCTTCGAAATTGAGTATTATAAGAGATAGTATATTTAAGTACTCTCTACTTGGAGGAATTTACTAAATAAACGCATAATGTCAAGCCATGCCATTTGCTAGATATTGTTAGGTAAAGGTATGCTTCATGCTGATTTTAGTTATTTTGCGGTTGGAGTGGACTTATAAATTGTGTAATTTCGTTTGGTGTTTTCATCTCCTTACAGAAAATGGATCTATTTCTTCAATTAAGTTCCATTGCAATCGTCTTTTCAATAATATATCTCTACAATGCATTGCTTAGAAGGTCAAACGGTACTGAAGTTAGCAAGATTAGAAACGCTCCTGAACCGGCTGGTGCATGGCCAATTATTGGCCACCTGCACCTATTAGGTGGTGGTGATCAGCTTCTTTACAGATCACTTGGAGCAATGGCTGATAAATATGGGCCTGCATTCAGCGTCCGCCTCGGGAATCGTTATGCCTTTGTTGTTAGTAGTTGGGAACTATTTAAGGAATGCTTCACAACCAATGACAAGGCGCTAGCTTCACGTCCTACAACAACAGCAGCAAAGCTCATGGGCTATGACTGTGCTGTGTTTGGATTTGCACCTTACAGCCCTTTCTGGCGTGAGATGCGAAAAATTGCGACACTTGAACTTCTTTCAAACCGTCGGCTTGAGATGCTCAAGGATGTTCGGATTTCTGAAGTTGACATGAGCATAAGGCATCTATATAGTTTATGGGCTAAGAACAACTCTCTCCCTGTGCTTGTTGATCTTAAAAAGTGGTTAGAAGACATGACACTTAATATGGTTGTGAGAATAGTGGCTGGAAAACGTTATTTTGGTACATCTGCTGATTCTGATGAAGCAAGACACTGCCGAAAGTCAATTAGTCGGTTCTTTCATTTGATTGGCATTTTTACGGTCTCAGATGCACTTCCGCACTTTGGGTGGCTAGATTTTCGGGGCCATAAAAAGGCAATGAAGAAGACGGCCAAGGATTTGGATGCTATACTCGAAGGCTGGCTGGAGGAGCATCGGCAAAGAAGAGTTTCTGGGGGAATCAAGACCGAGGGTGAGGAGGACTTCATTGACGTCATGCTGTCACTTCAGGAGGAAGGAAAACTCTCAAATTTTCAGTATGATGAAAATATTGGTGTCAAGTCTACCTGCCTGGTATGTGCTTATTTATAAATTTGAATTCATAGATCAATATGCAGCGATAAATAAACCAATAAAATGTGGGTGTGAAAAATTAAACTAAAGTATATGAGGTCTACCCAAAAAGTTTGTCACACTACCCTTTCAATTATTCACATTCTGGGACTGAACGCAAATGCGTTACCTGTTGGAGCATTGTGCTTAGGACCAATTCATTATTTTCTTTCTTACGAGAAATCAACTTGTTAACAGTCTTAACGATTATCTTTTTTTCTATTCTTGTGTAGGCACTTATCCTCGGTGGTAGTGACACCACATCAGGCACGCTTGCATGGGCCATCTCATTGCTTCTAAATAACCGCCAGATGTTGAAGAAGGCGCAAGAAGAATTGGACCAAAAAGTTGGTATGGAGCGGCTAGTTAATGAGTCGGACATTGAAAACCTGGTTTATCTGCAAGCCGTCATCAGAGAAACCCTCCGCTTATACCCTGCTGGTCCGCTCTTAGGACCACGGGAAAGTATGGAAGATTGCACTCTTGATGGTTACCATGTTCCAGCTGGTACTCGATTAGTTGTAAATGTATGGAAAATTCACAGGGATCCAAAGGTTTGGCCAAACCCATCTGCTTTCCAACCAGAGAGATTTCTGACAACCCATGCAGATGTTGATGTTAGAGGTCAATCTGGACTCGTTCCTTTTGGCTATGGTCGACGCTCGTGCCCAGGTGTGACATTTGCGCTCCAAATTCTTCACCTAACACTTGCTCGACTCCTTCATGCATTTGAACTGGTAACCCCTTTGGCTCAGCTTGTTGACATGACAGAGAGTCCAGGTTTAACCATTCCAAAAGCCACACCATTGGAGGTTCTCCTTAAACCTCGCCTCCCTGCCAAGCTCTATGACTGATTAAGTGTTCTTGAAGCTTGGAAAGTTTAGTTGATGTAAAAGTGGATATGATAAGTGCAATAAATAATTGGTACTCTATACCAGTCCGGTGGTTTGCTTGGAGACTTTTTGGTTGACAAGTAAATCCGAAACATCCGGATCTTCCCAAATCCTACTACTGTTTCTTACATTATGTTATGATTAAGTGTATTTTCCTGGCCTGATGAAGGCTTTTACGGTTTATAATCCTTGAAACTAGCTGATACATACCTATGATGTAATCAAAGGTAGGTTGGATACATCAGATACATGTGCATTTATGTTTTGATTTGGAGCATTGGAATTTTCTTGGTTATTAAAAGTCCTGTTAAATCTGCCAGATTTACTTCTCCTTATAGACAAAGGTAGATAACTTGTCAAGTAAGGAAGAGGAATGTGTAAGCCAGCTATTTTTCTGCTGCCATTAACTTTTTTATTTAGTTTCTCTTTTGTATTGATCAACAGGCCCGGCTCAAGCGGTAGGCAGGTGGGGCACCTGCCTAGGTCCCCTAACAATAGGGGTTCAAATTTTTTATAATTTTTTAATATATTATAAAAATAAAAATGATGTATGATATTTTACCCAGAAAAAAAAACCAAAAAGAATTAAATTTATTATAAATTTTTTTACATATATTTTCACCCAAAGTTTGATAAAATAGTAAGTTTGTACCTCTAGTTTTATATATTCTAATTTACATCCCTAAATTAACAAATTAAATTTTTTTTAACAATAAAAGACTAAAATAGTCATTTATATGTCTCAAATTACTCAACCCTAATTCCATCTCAAATTTCGACATTCACATAAATTATCTCCACCCTTTTTTCGCCCCCAGCCGTTTGAAGTTGATTCCCATCAATTTTCTCACCAAAATTGACTGAAATCATTACTTTATCATTTTCTCAAGTGTTTTTCCAGTCTTGATAGCCCTCGATTTGATCGATTTTTTTATGAATCTCATAACCTAACTCCATCGTGCACAACAGCTATTTTCGACCTTTTCAACATGTACCTGACGTTGTTGGCATTCCCTGACACCACCATCTTTCTCCCCTTAATCCTTTCACCAAAATCCTTATCATACCTCATATGTTTACTCCGTCAAATCGTCGGCCATCAAAACCTTTTGGGTTGCGACTTCTCAAGTCTTTTTTGGCCAATCCAGATATTAGAAATTACTTATTTCATCACCTATCATTTCTCTAATATTTGCTCTCTAAAACCCCCCATCAACTTGACTCAGTTAGCTTATTGATCACTATCTACCTCTCTTAATGATTTTACATCTCAAAATGTAAGAAAATAAATTTAAAATATTTTTTTTAATATATACTTATATTATTAGAAGGCTACAAAGTAATTTAGGTTGTTATCGAGAAGGCCTGTTTGATCAAGCATTCATTTAAGTCTTCTGTCAATAGATAAGCATGGAAATCAAATGAGAAACGGCCAATAAAAGAGTAAAGCATTCTTCCGGGGATTGAGATGGGGCCTGTGGCGGCTGCATAATTCCAAGAGAGAAAAGACCTTTGAGTTTGAAGTCAAAAGAGAGCTCTCAAATTTTGCTCTTTATAAACGATTAAAATAGTTCATAAGAGACAAATCATACGGCATCTATGACTCTTGTGACTGGTTAGAGTTCGTGTCCTTGTGCCACAGTGCCATCGAACGATGACCGGCACTTGTTAGCTGATAAGTCATGATCATATGGCAAATAATACCTCCAAAGCAGATGATAACTAAAGACATCCTTTAGTAAAAAATATTTAACTTTTCAATCACATTACCATAGCATATAAATACCAGTAACATTAAATAAGATTTAAATTATTGATTATTATAAGATTCTCCCCTATATATTATTATACTAATTNATATTGCAATAATAATGATTTACGCGATATAGAATAAAATGCCTTTTATTATTGATTAATGAACATTATTACAAAGAGTCAATTCTACAATAATTGATTGGCTCTAGGGCATCTACTCTAACAATCCATACCCCTAAGAATTTGATATCTTTTAACCATCTCTTTGTAATGTCTGTTAAGGTCTTTCTTTTTTAGAGAACAGCACCGCATCTTAAAATATTCTTCTCTGACCTGGTCCTTATAAAGGTGAGGTAATCCACAAAATTCATCATAAAAGAGATATAGAGCTTGATTAATATTTCGCATTTGGATGAACAAATTTTGTCTGTACTCCTTAAGACTAATCCGCCAATCACGGAATATGTCACCAAATCTAGTTGTAAACTGCATAAGTACAGTAGAGACTTGAGCATTAGGTTTAAGCATCTCAGCTTGTAACCAGGCTTGAAATTCATACATCCGATTTCTCCATTTGTATGGAGGAAGATCATCAACAGTAAAAGCGTGGAGCTTTACTGAAGTTGTTAAAGAGTCACGCTCAGCCGTAGTATGACGGGATTGTCAATACCTAGGTAGAGAGTCTGGAATGGAATCATCACCTTCAAGCATTTCATCATCAAACTCAGAGATAACAGGTGGTCTTGAAGATTCGGGTTAAAGGGTAATCAGTTGGGGATAAACATTAAGATGTTGATCAAAAGTATCACTTTCAGAATCATTTGAAAGTGGCTTTGATTTTGAGAGTGATACTTCTGATCAACATCTTAATTTATATGGATTTCATTTTAGGTCTTCCTAAAGTGCAAAGGGGTTATAATGTCATTTGGGTGATTGTAGATAGATTGACTAAATTTGCTCATTTCATTCCAGTTACAGACAAGATGTCCTCTGATCAGTTGGGCTGATTATATGTCAAAGAAATAGTAAGATTACATGGAATACCTAGTAGTATTGTCTCAAACAGGGAGGTGAAATTTATGTCAGTATTCTGGAGTAGCATGTAGAAGGCATTGGGTACTAGGCTTAATTTCAGCACAGCCTATCATCCTCAGACGAATGGACAGACAGAAAGAACGAATCAAATATTGGGGGATATTTATGGGCTTGCTGTATGGATCACAAGTTGAATTGGTGTGACATTCTCGCTCTAGTTGAATTCACTCATAACAATAGTTATCAAGCAACCATTAAAATGGCACCATATGAAGCCTTGTATGGAAGGAAATGTAGGTCACCATTGCATTAGGATGAATTGGGAGAAAAAGATGCATTAGCTAAAGTTTTCAGTCCAGAAATGATACAAAAGATGATAAAAGATGTAAAGCCGATCCGAGAGAGACTGCAACAAGCACAAGATAGACAGAAGAGTTATGTAGATCCAAAGAGAAAGAATATAGAATTTCAAGCGGGAGATAAGGTATTTGTAAAAATCACTCCTTATAAGAAAGTGTTGAGATTTGGAAGGAAAGGAAATCTTGCTCCTAGATACATTGGTCCATTTGAAGTGTTATAGAAAGTTGGCAAGATAGCATATAGACTTGCATTACTAGTCAGTATGGACCAAATACATAATGTGTTCCATGTTTCCTTGTTGCGAAAGTATATTCATGATCCTTCTCACATACAGTAGAAGAAGTGGAGCTAAAAGATGACCTAATTTACGAAGAATGTCCATTCAGATTCTAGATAGAAAAATTAAGGAACTCCAAACAAGAATATATCGCTTGTTAAAGTATTGTGGAGAAATCATAATGTTGAAGAAGCAATATGGGAGGTCGAGCAAAACATGAAAGAAAAGTATCCAGATCTCTTCAATTAAATTTCGAGGATGGAATTCTTATAAGGAGGAGAGGATTGTAAACCCCCGCGTCAGCGTTCCAATGCTATAAGGTATGTAATTCTACCCTTAAAAGGATTTTATCAATAAAAGGGTAAAATGGTCATTTTGCATGCATTATGAGACGTGAATGTTGTAAAGTGTTAGGAATTGATGATACTGATAAGAAACATGGTTAAAGGGTCATGAAGGAGGTTAGTAAGGCTAAACGGCATAAACGGTTCCCAAAGGGTATAATGGTCTTTTCACAATAATTTATAGGAATCAAGTATCCATAAAAGTGTATTATGGGTAAATTAGTTAATTATCTTATGGATTTACTTGGTCACCAAGTAGAAAAGAGAAGTCAAATGGCATTAAAGGAGTGTAATAATAATGTTGTAGTGGAAATGACGAAAATGCCCTTATATGCAAAATTTATACCAAATGACCCATATATCTAACTTTTGATGGCCAATCCCATTTGGGAATTAAAAAAATGAAATATTTATAAGATCTTTTCTTGGTTAAGTTGGCCAACACTCTTAGAACACCAAACTCTCTTCTTCAAGTCTTATTTTCGTCCATTAAAGGCTTTAATTCAAGCTCTCTATCTCAAAATTTTCATAGGATTTCAAGTTGAATTTCGAGGGAGATCACCATCCACACTTAAAGAACTTCAATCTCAGGGTTTAAGGTGATTTTTAAAACCCTAGTTTGTTGTGATTTTTAGTTAAAAGAGAAATTCATAAGTGGCTATGTGTGTAAGGTAGAAAGGGTGAACCTTTGGAACTAAGGAGGAGTGTTTTTGTGCTTTGAATACTAAGGTAAGGAAAAAAAATCTCCCTTATGACTACAATTGATAACACCTAGGGTTGATGAAACTTACATCTATTTATGTTAGTTTGAGTGTGATGCTATGTTTTGGTTATGGATTGTTTAAATGGGTGTGTTGATCGGTGTATGTGTGCATATGGAGGATGATTTTGCCAATTAAGAGGTTTGTAGTTGGACGATGTTTTGGCACTTTTTGGTTTTGTAAAAAGGGATGTTTTTATGGCCTTTTATACTTAGAATGATATGGCAAATACTATGAATTTGCAAATAAATGTGACATGGTTAAAAATGAATAGAATTCGGATTTGGCTTTTTAAGGCTTATACTGTACATGCTTCGCTGAATCAGTCATAACTGAAGTTATAAAGTCTGATTGAGCTGATTCTTGAGGTATTAAAAAGTTTAGAAATAGATCCAAAACTTTTTTGTTTTAGCCAAAAATCAATTCGAATTGGAAGATGAGGAAAAAATTGCTTGAAAAGTGACGAACTGTATGGCATCCACCTCCTTAATAAAAAATCCCATCTTTTTTATAATTTCTAATAAACCACTGAATAATCTTACTATTGAAATTCCTTGTGTTGTATGAGAAATCGAATGAATTAAGTTAATGAATTTAATAGGAAAATATTCATGTCATGGAGTTTTGCTAAATTGATTGATGAATTGTGCAATTGGCCAAGGGTACATGTTAAATGAATGAATAGTATGATTAAGTGTGGGAGATGTTATCCCATATGTTTGCATTCATAATGGTAATGCATATAGCTTATTTAGTTGACTTATGAAAAAATTTATGAAATGTTAAAGAATGAATTCCATGAGTCTCTTGAGGTATAAAC